AACTTAAAAGGAGAAAACGTTTGAGTCGTGGTTTTAGAACTTTCATCCCACGGTCATTTAACCCAATAGTCTTGAAGAAAACATCATGGTCGTCTGAGCATGTGGCAGAGAAAACCTGCTCATCTCATAGCCAACCCAGAAGCATAGCATGAGCCCAGAAGCAGAGAAAGAGAAAGTCACTGCTTTCAACTTTTTCCCCCCCCTTTTTTTTTTGGTCCCAAAGAATGGTGCCACCCACGCTCTGGTTGGCTCTTTCCCTTCAGGTGAACTTTACAAATCAGTCTCATGGATAGACCCAGTGGTGTGCTTTACACAGTCTCCTAGGTGATTCTAAGCCTGGTCTGGTCAAGTTGACAATGGAGATTAATTGTCACACATAGAATGACTGTGATATTCCAACACTTAGAGGACAGCCTCACTTGAACATCCAAGAATCCACTGAACACTGATGCAGGGCTATATAGTGTTAGTTTTAGAGAATGTATCAATCCCTGTCTTAGAATATTGGTAGCTACATCAGCCAGACAAGTTATTGTGAATTCCTAGAGAAAACTCATCTTTTGATTGTAAATGTGCACCTTCAAAACTTCATAGTTTTATTTCCTTTCTTTATTGTAATGTATTGTGCAAAAGGATGTATTCCATTGGGTTATTTTCATAAATGCATATAATGTTATTTGAGCATATTTGTACCCTATTTATTCCCTCTGCCACCCATCTACTTTATTTTTCCTATGACTAAAGCTTGAAATGTTCTTTTAGAAGGTTATTATTAATAGATTATTGCAAATAGGTTGAAATATTTGGCAGAAAAACAATGGTTGATTAAAATACAATAAAATTAAAAATTTTTGAGTTTGTCATTATCAAGAAACACATTTGATATATATATATATATATATATATATATATATATATATATATATATATCACTGTCCAAAGCACCCCCCCAACTCAGGCCTCTGGCTCTCCTCACCACTTTCCAATTCCTTCTTCAGGGTGATTAAAGGTATTGTCAAAGCCTTCCCAATACCCTTCGCCATTCATACTGTGCCTACATTGTCTCCCACAGAAGGGCAGTTTGTTCACCCTGCCAAGGCTAACTCCTGCAAAAGTGTCCTTGATTCCATTTCTTCTGCCTCCTCAGATGTCCTACCCCATCATAAAGCCCTCTTCCAATTTACCCTTCCTAAGACATGTACAAGTCCATCATAGGAAGCCTCTCCTCAAGTCAGGGGTTTACAGGAATTCTTATTCTGTATTTTCAATAATGTCTTCCCAATAATCTTGGAAGGATCCAATATTTTCTTTGTCTTTTTCAAGACAGAGTTTCTCTGTGTAACAGTCCTGGCTGTCTTGGAACTCACTGTGTAGACCAGGTTGGCCTCAAACTCATTGAGATCCACCTGCCTCTGCCTCCCAAGTGCTGGGATTAAAGACATACACCACCTCCACCTGGATGGATTCAATTATTTTCTAAATACTGAGCTCTCCATTATTGGAAGCAAGCATCATGCTAGATGTTAGGAAGACAATAAAAGACACGTTGTATTTACTCCTTCTTATAAAGAAATAGGGGTCCTTCCCCAAAGCAAGCTACAGAACTTCCTGTAAATACTAGCAAATTACTACAACTTATTACAAGTGTTATCATAAAACTAGGCATACAGGCAGTCTTGGTGGGTCTCTATAATGCTGTCATTTGGGACACAGAGATGAAAAGATTGAAAATTTGAAGATAGCTAGATAATGATGGAACAAGACCCTGTTGCAGAAGGGAAGGAAAAAGAAAATAAATCAAGAAGGATACAATGAAGGATGAGAGGGAGGCAGGGAAAGAGGGAGGGAGGGAGGGCGGGAGGCAGGGAGGGAGGGAGGCAGGGAGGGAGGGAGGGAGGTAAAAAGGAGAGAACCTAAAAGACAGTAAGGAGCCCTGGGAAGATTAAATAATTGTTTTCACTGGTAGGACAGCATGTGTAAAAAGGCTACATGATTTGCCTGGGTCAAAAACTATTCTTGCTTGTTTGAGGGACTGGAATGCCATGATTAAAACACACCATGCAAATGTGAAAGCAGTATGTCCTCTGCAGGGACCAATCATGTGACCAAGGTCAGAAGCCAGAACCTTTTCCAAATTCAGAGAAGCACTGAAATATTTTATTAGAAGAGAGTAAGAATATGTTGTTAGGCACATGGAGAAAGAACTAGAGGAAAAGAGAATGAAAAGCAAACAGAGCAAGTAGAAACTAGTAGAGCAGCCTGGCCTGATAAGGTACCAGTGATGACAGAAGATTGGGGTGAATATGTAGTGTCTTACACGGAATCAGCAGGATTGGCTGGTTGGTCCAGGAAAGGGAGAAATAAGGAGGATGAGTCTAAGGCTACTGATGTAAGCCAAAAGGTTCCTGATTACAATGGGAGGGGATGTACCAGGGGTTTCACAGGGACACTGCAGAAGAGGGTGTGGAAGGATTCTAAGAGCCAGAGGAACAAGGAATTTCCTGTGAGATTGTGTAACCTAGGAGAGTCTGAAGCTCCGCCAATAATGTCTTAACAACATGACTGCCTACACATGAGCTGAAGGAGGACAGCACATGTAAAAAGGCATGCCCAAGTGGTAGCAGGTAGGTCATGAGGCCTTAACCCTGCAGTAAGAACCACAGACTACTAAGGAATGCTGAGGACAGGAGAAGCTGTCTTTCCCAGGAAAGAGCACATCAGCTGGTTATCCAGTACTAAATGGTCATCCCTAGAAATACGCATAAAAAGAAGTGAGCAGGTTGTACTTATATATGTAGGAGAGAGAGAGACAGAGAGAGAGGGAGAGAGAGAGAAAGTGTGTGTGTGTGCATGTGTGTCTGTGTACATATAAATATGTATGTAGCAACAATTAATGAAAAGGAGACTATGAATTTGAAAGAGAATAAGGAGAAGTTTATGGGAGAGTTTGGAGAGACAAAATGGAAGGGGAAGGGATGTGATTATAATCTCAAAAATAAAATAATTTCAAAAAGGAAAAAATCATGTGGTATTTGTCTTTTCATGCCCAACTTATTTCGGATCACCATATTATATGCAGAAATATTGTTGGAGTGGTGGTTCAATGGTGCGGGGAATTTACTGCTCTTCCAGAGGACCCAAATTCAGTGTCTAGCACCCACATCAGGTGACTCGCAACCACCCACCACTCCAGGCTGGAATGGAAGCACATGCTCTGAACTCTGTTGACACTATACTCACTAGTGTGTGTCCAAACACATGCATACACAACTAATTGAAATAAAATCCTTTTTGATTATTGAAAAAAATAGTAGTGCCTGGGAAGCCAATGACACAGTTCAGCAATAAAAAGAACTTGCTGCCAAGCCTGACAATATGATCTTGACTCCAGGGACCCACGTAGTAGAAGGAGAAAAACTTCAGCCAGTCATCCTTACAAGTGGTGGCACCCGCCTACCCATGTGTGCATGCACATTTAAAAATAAATATTTTTTAAACTAAATTTTTAAAAAAGATAGTATAGGAAGTCCTTTACAGGGTAGAAAAATAAACAAAAGACATTCAGATCAGAAAGGAAGAAATAAAAGGTTTATTGTTTGCTGGTGACACAATTTTATGACCGAGAAACTACAGGTCCTACATACACCTATATATGAACACTCACATACTCATAGGCAAACACACCTGTACGCACACCCACACATTCTTATGACTGAGAAAGTACAGATCTCACACACACACATACACACACGTGTATACACACACCTGTATATGAACACCCATGCATGTACAGGCACACACATCTGTAAACACACCCACACAACATAAACTTGTAATTCAGTCTGAAAATGGTGGCAACACAGAGACAGGCTGAACTCTGTAGGTATGAAGTCACAATGAGTTCCAGGATAGCCAGAGCTGCATAGAAAGGCCCTGTCTCAGAAGAAGGAAGGAAGGACGGAGAGAAAGAGAAAAGCAGAAAGATAAAAGAAAGAAAGAGAGAGAGAGAAGAAAGAAGAAAGTAAGAAGGAAAGAAGGAAAGAAAAAAGAGAGAGAGAGAGAGAGAGAGAGAAGGAAGAGAGAGAGAGGAGAGAGGAGAGAGCGGGGGACTAAGAAGCTAAGACAATGTTATTTACAATAGCTGCCAGAGATAAATTTAACCAAAAAGCAGCATAGGGACATATACACTGAAAATTCTAAGCATTAATGAACTGACAGTAAGAAGTCACTGCTCTTTTTCAAACCCACCATACTTCAGACTGGCTAAAGAACTTACACTTTCAAAGCCCACCGTTTCTTTTCACTACATGATTCCCTTCCCTGGAGATCACCTTCATTATGTCTACCCGTTAGCCAGAAGGATAGGTGCATCCTTCAAAGTCTTCGATATGGTAGCAATCCCAGGTAAGCATCCTCATTGTCCTCACTGTTACCAGTCAAACCCCTTCAAGCCCCTCAGCAGGTTGCTTGCCCTCATTAGAATCCCTGTACACCTCTATTTCTTGTTTTAGTTGTTTGTGTAGGCCATGCCTCCCTGACTATGTCATAATTATCTCAGGAAAAGAACTATATACCTTTCATTTGTGTTGCACTACAAGTCATAAAACACATCTCGAATATACGAGGCTGTAAGAAAATGCCAGCGGTGAACCGTGTTAATTAGAATAAATCACTGTTTGGGGTGCTAACTTGTAAATCCAGAGTGATTTCTTCCATGTTAGTGATGGTGATCTTCTTACCCAAATAATTCCCCCTTTGAGTATACACAGACAATCTGAAGACTATATTAAAAGGGAGGGCCAAATATGCAAGTGATTCCTTCCCTTAAGTGAAGAGAAGCTCGCTATGCGTCATGGAAAATGAAAGCACTGTAATAGAATGTGCCAACAAGACTTCTGGAGTCATGATTTAGTGGAAATACTGTTTTGCCTCCTGTTCCTAGGCCCTAACTTCCTTCTCAAGTACTTAAGCTGGTTATGTTCTATTGACTTTGTTTCCAGATTACACTGACAACCATTGGCTATGGAGACAAAACGCCCCTAACTTGGCTGGGAAGATTGCTCTCTGCAGGCTTCGCACTCCTTGGCATTTCTTTCTTTGCACTTCCTGCTGTGAGTATCTTTGCAACAAGAAAGCAGCTTCCGTTGGGTCCTTAAGTCTTACTGGAGTGAGCTCTCACACATCAGTGTTCTGAGGAATGACTCTCTTGTTCACTGTCTGGTACTATTGTGCAAATAAAATGTTGACTTTTCTAAATGCATCCAGGAAGATAAATATGGACCTGAGTCTTCATACTGGCTACATCTGTATAAACAAATGATCCAGAGTATTTCAGTCAACCTGCCACTAATACATTTTAAGTGTTTACTGCAATTTGGCTTCTAATGTACACAAATGAAAGAAAGGTGTGCACACGAGTTTGCTCCCCTTCCCAAACACTTGAATGAAAAGCATCTGACCTTAAGTGTTATAAATGTGCCAGATGATTTATTCCTGTGTCTCAGCTATTGATTTTTTTCCTTAATGAGCAGTTTCTGCATTTTGTCAGAATGAAAACCACATTTATCTCCCTCCGAGTGTCTGATTAGTTTTTCTTCAACGGACGAAGCTGAACTTTCTGGTAATTTTAGCCTCTTGTTTCTTTAGAGGCAGTTAGACATGGCATTGCAATTTACCTCCTCTCTCTGGATATCATTTTTGCCTACTCCGTCTAAGTGGGGTATTAGGGAGCTGAAAGAGCCCAGCCTCAGCAGATGTGCCTAAAGAAAACAGCCCCATCCTTGCTCCAAGCCGCAGGCCCTGCCATGTGCAACCTCTGTCAAACTGAAACCTGAGAGCACATGCCCGGTTTTAGCTCTCAGTGCCTATTCTTTGACTGTCAATGACCCTAGAGGACACTCCTGTCCTTCTCACACTCGGGTTCCAGCTCTCAACCAGCTAGCTGGGTCAGGCCTAGACCACTCAAAACTGTGGCTAAGAGACTCCCCAGACTATGCGCAGGCTTGGATAGTACGCCTCAGCTTGAGTTACATTTGTCACTTGCTGTGTACCTAACTACCTTAGTGTGCCAGGAGTGCTGTGGCAGGATATGGCAGACTGGGGTCCCTGCAACAATAGAAATTACTGTCACAGTGTTTGAAGGCTGGACATGCAGATCCAGATCCAGAGATTAGAAGTGGAGGCCAGGCTTGGCTTCTGAGAGCCCTGAGAGGGACAGTGCTGTTCCAAGCCTCCGCCCTTAAGGCAGAGAGGGCCAACACCTTTGTGTGTCTTTACAGCATTTATAACTAAATTTCTTTACCTTATAAGGACAGCATTTGTATGCATAGGGCCCCTCCTAATGCCCTCATCCTAACCTGATGGTCTCTGGTGGAGACTGTCACTATCCTCAAATAAGTCACTTTCTGAAGTGCAGGCAACATATGGATCTGGGGAGACACAATTTAGCTCAGTGATTTTTTTTTAGTTTGTTTCTTCATTGACATGGTAGGAGAAGAATTATCGAGTCCAGATAAGTACTGGACAGAACAGTGTGATAGTGTAAATGAAGCGATGACTATGAAGAAAACCAAAGCACTCTCCTTCATTTGTAAGACTATAAAAACATGTGCTAGTGCATGCCTTTAGTCTCAGCACTTGGAAAGCAGAGGCAGTTAAGTTTCTGAGTTCAAGGCCAGCCTGGTCTACAGAAAGAGTTCCAGGACAGCCAGTGCTACACAGAGAAACCCTGTCATGAAAACAACAAAAAAAGGTTTCCTGATGCAAAGTGGTACTATAAGACAGATTGGAGGCAGATTTCCCATATCCAAAGAAAACTCTTGGGGTTGTTGCTGCTGTGTTTTGATTTTTGAGACAGGGTTTCTCTGTGTAGCCCTAGATGTCTTGGAACTGGTTGTGTAGTTTGGTCTATAGAGTCCAAAATCAGCCCGTATGGTTGTCAGAACAATCTAGAAAAGAACAGAGAAAGAATCAGTCATCACATTCCATGCGGGAAAACACTTTTGGAAACAGTGCAATGAAATCTTAGGTTTCTTCCCCAAAAGTAATGGGATAAAGTACCTGCTGTTTGATGTTTATATTTACCCTGAGGTCACAGAGATAAACAGGCTGTTAAAGTAGGCAACAGAGGCCAACATAACAGATACTGCATGGAAACAGATGCTGGAAGACTAACAGCAAGGGCAGCAAATGCAAATCTACAAAAAGCAAGGAGAGACAAGTGTGTGAAGACTGAAGGCCAGTTAGAGTCAGGGTCAGACCCCTCTGAATCCTCCACAGTGAAATGCAAGGATCCTAGAATGAAACTCCAAACAGTTCCAGGGAGGTTAAAAGATGTTGTTGCATAAGGTTACAGGTCAGAGGCTAAGTAGTCATTCATGGAAACGTTTCCAATAAAGTGATCGCCATTTTTACAAATTAAGTTCATTGATATTAGAAATCTGTAAAATGTGCTTGCACTAAACACAACATTTCCTAACAATGCCAAGAAAAGCAGCCTCCACCATGAAACCTTTGACTGTGATCTCACCATAGGTTCTGAGTTGTCATTTTGTCCTGTAGACCTGCTGGCCAACGGTGCAGCCTGATTGAAATTTTGAGATTGCATCAGCATTTTGCTGGGAAAGTGTCTTAGTTAGGGTTACTATGATGAAACACCATGACCATAAGCTACATGGGAAAGAAAGGGTTTATTTCACTCACAATTCTATGAAACAGCTCATCATCAAAAGTAGTGAGAGCAGGAACTCAGGCATGGCAGGGACCTGGAGGCAGGAGCTCATGCAGAGGCTATGGAGGTATGCAGCATACTGCCTTGGTCACCCAAGGAAGAGCTTTCCAACTGCTTTCTTATATATAGAACCACTAGCCCAGGGATAGCACCACCCATAATTAGCTGGGAACTCCCCATCAATCACTAATAATTGAGAAAATGCCATACTTACAGGCTTCCTCATCACCCCATCATATGGAAGCCTAACTAATAGAGGTTCCATTCTCTCAGATGACTTTAACTTGTATTAAATTGACATAAAATTATTCAGCACAATTGACCCCCTGTCAACTTGACACACAAACAAATCACCATTAAGTCACAGCCTTTCCTTTCTTAGTCTTCTCCAAGAGTACACATTAATATTGATATCACAATATAAAATACTTTCAAACTTAAAAGTGTCACAGACTTACAAATTCAAACACTTGAAAACTTCAGTCTCTTTTAAAAGGTCCAAAGTCTCTTTTAACATCCAAAATCTCTCAACTCTAGGCTCCCATAAAATCAAAAGTAAAATAAGATTGCTTCTAATTTAAATTTTAAAAATTTAGGGAGAAAAAAAGAAGCTTCAATTAGCAAAAGATGAAAAAAAAAAAAACACTTTCTTACTTCCAGAGGAGAGAACTAGGGTATAGTCACAATCTGAATAAAGCAAAACCAAACTGCAATTGTGTAAGTAACCCAATAATCAATGTCTGGGATGGACTCACAATCTTCAGGACTCCTCCAAAGGGCTTGGGTCACTCCTCCAGCTCCGCCCTCTGCAGCACACACTGCTTGTCTTCTAGGCTCCAGCTGGCTCCACTCCACTGCCACTGCTGTTCTGGTGGTCATCCCACAGGGTCCCTTGATATAACTGGGTTGCACTTTCATCAGTAGCATTTCTTGGGCTCTCTTTAAGAACTCCATCCCTTTCACAAAGCGCCAAGCCTCAGCTGTTTTCCATGACCCCTTTCCTGCCTTCAAAACCAGGACTACCTGGGTGACTTTTACAAGGATGAAATACAACCTTGGCTGCCTCTGGAACACAGCTTCTCATGTGATGACTCTGAGGAAACACTTCCCAGAAGACTTCACCTCAAGGATGCTGGTCTATTCTCAGTCATGGCTGATTCTTCATCCCCAGCTGACCAGCATCCATTGCACCAGCAAAGCAAAGGTTTTACTTTAGTATTTCTGACCTCTTGCTAATCACAGCTGATTCTTCAGCTCCAGCTGACCAGACACCACAGATTCTTCATTCAAAAGACTCGGTAGAGTCTTTGCTTCCCTCTGAAACTTCACAAGCCAATCCTCATCGTCTGCATTGTTTCAACATTCTTGTCTTCCAAGCTCCTACAGAACGGCTTATTGAGTTCTCAACACTCAATGGATTTTCTAGGGTAGAATCCCAAAATCATTTCACAATGCTCCCCAGAACAACATGGTCAGGCCTGTCACAGCAGTACTCACTGTCCTGGTACCGACCTCTTTCTTAATCACTGTTCTCTTCCATTGCTCTGAAGAGACACCATGACCAACATAATTCTATTATTTTTAAAAAGCATTTAATTGGGGGCTGCTCATAGTTTCAGAAGGTAACTCCATTATCATTGTGGCAGGAAGCATGAGAGCTAGTATGGTACTGAAACAGCATCTGAGAGCTACATCCTGATCCGCAAGCAGACAGAGAGTCTGGGCCTGACATGGGTTTTTTAAAGCTCAAAGCCCACCCCCAAAGACATACTTCCAGCAACAAGGCCACACCTCCTGATCCTTCTCAAAAGGTGCCACTCCCTGGTGACTAAGCATTCAAATATAGGAGCCTATGTGGGCCATTCTTATTCAAACTACCTAAGAAAACAAAAGGTTGAATAGGACTGTGAGCCTCTCCTCTTTAGGGTTACCACACCCAGAAAATGCAGTAGCCATAGTTCCCTGTCTCATTCTGACAGCAGGCGGACTCTGTTGCCCCTTACATGGTCAACAGGTCAACTTGTCCCAAGCTCCACTTTAGCCCACCTCTCCTGCTCTCTCCAGCCCTAGGCTACTGAGCTTCTGCAGGCCAATCCAACCTCTTTACAGCAGCCTTACAAGTTGGTCTTACTCACTCCTCCTGATGGATACACTAGCTGAAAGTGACTTTTTCTTAAAAATAAATTGGCTTTTATTGAGATTGAATTCCTTCAGGTATCCAGCTGGGTTAAACTCAATGCAACAACTAGTTCTGATTAACTTGAAATGTTAATTATTCCACAAACACACATTTACTACTATCTTCAATCATTTAAAATATTAACAAAATTTTTACCAATTTTGTTGATATATCACAAATGTTAAGAATATATTACAATATATTTAAATATATTACAAATATAAACAAATGTTAAAAGTCAGAATAACTTGGTTGTCATGTTGAGAATGCAAATTGAGTTCCTTGAAATGGAATGGTAAGAAAGGATACATATTTTACATTTTTGTCAAGGTATTTTTCCCACTTGGTATTTATGTAGCATTTATTGGCCTAGAAGCAAATCTTAATACCTAAAACTTTAATTCCTGTTAGTCTAGAAAATTAATGAAAATCAATTTGTAAGATTTTGCGTCTACACAGGGATGGAGAATGAATGAGATCAAGATACATGATGTAGAAAAACACATAGAATAAATACATTTTATAATTAAAAGATTTTGCATGTATTGTCAGTATTTGAAGAGATGGTGTGCATATTAAAAGATGAAGCCACGTTGTATCTGGACGTATAAATTATAGCAAGCATCTGCTTAGAGACACCAACCTGCATGTTATTAGTGGTAGAGAAAGGTTGGAATAGAGACATAATGAGACAGGGAGCAGAGCTGACTTACTAGCTGCTGTAATGTACAGTCTGGCACAAGAGACGGTAGTAAACAGTTGTCATCTACTAAAATATGTTTCTAAGCAATGCCAAGTACTTTTCAGTGTGTTTTAATTTGCTTTGTAGATATTAAATTGTACTATGTAGGATCGGTGTTCATTTTCAAAATGGAAAATAACTCTCAATCCCCTTATCCACATATTGTACTTAAAAATGATAGCTATTGCTATTAACCCAATGTCTATAAAAATCTGAATTATGTTTAGAGCAAGTAATACACAAATATTCACTATATATGTATGTATATATATAATACATACTGTAAAGATATTTTTTATTCTCTCCTGTGTGTTTATACTTAATGGGAAAGGAAGTTAGAAGAAAAATCAATCTTTCCCAAATAGCCTCATTTAACCAAAAAAGGGGTGGAGGGATTTGGAAGAGGAGAGCATCTGTGATACCAAGTGGAGGAGATATTATTTAAATCCACAAACCAGACCATACAAAGCAGGATTTTATAAAGCTTAGCTTGTGTAATCACAGCCTGTATGAGATTAGACATTAGACATTAGACAGTACAAGAGCTGCACTCAACGCAGAGACAGAAAACAGAACACATGATTTAATTGCTCATTTCAGAGCACAGTCATTTATCTTCATTAATAATAGATGCATACTAGTAGCAAATAGTATTATTTTATACTTCTGTATTTTAAACATGATTGCATTACTTACTGTCTGGTTATTGTCAACAACGGGCTTAGAATTGTGAAATCTCAAGATAAGATGAAAAGTCAAGGGCTATCTAGAGCCCCAAAATATCTCAGCAAAGTTGTCACATGGCCAAGACTTAATACCCTCTAGAGATAAACGAACACATTTTCCAGGAGGTGTCACCTTTGAGCTGATGAAGGGTGGGTATTGGGTGTTTCTTACCTACAGAAGATACTGGCTCAGCGTTTATAAGATGCCCATCTCTAACCTAAGGGTGAGACTCCTTGAAATTTAGTAAGAGGCTAGTAATTTATAGCTAGCAAGTAAAATCCACAGACTTGAAAGCAGTGACACCCCCACTATCATACTAATAAAGTCAAGAACATAAAGACTGAACTTAGCAAGCTCTGGATGTGAACCTAAGGTTGAGATGAAAGACATCTTGGTTTCACAAATATCAGACCTCAACAAACTGAAAAGAAAGGCAAACATCAAAGAACCAGAATTTTTGCAGTTCAAGAATAAGCATGAAGCCAGGTGGCAGTGCACCCCTTTAATCCACACACTTCACTTGGGGACAGAGGCAGAAGGATGTCTGTCAGTTCAACCCAGCCTGTTCTACAGTGTGAGTACCAGGACAACCAGGACTACACAGAGAAACCCTGTCTCACAAAAACAAAAAGATAAAAAGAAGATAATAAGCAGAAGGAAATCAAACTAGCAACAATAATAAAACACGTAGGATTAGAAATAGTTCAGCAGTTAAGAATACACACTACCCTTGTAAAAGACCTGGATTCAGTTCCTCAGCACCCACATTGAGCAGCTTACAACCACTTTCATCTTCAGTTCCAGAAGATCTGACTCGTCTTCTGAGATCTTCTTATCTGTACACCCACATATGCATATGCACATAATTTAAAATAAAATAAATCTTTAAAAGAGCACAAAACAAATCAAAAACTAACATAAACAGAGGAGGGTGTATCAGTCTTACTAACCCCAAATTCCAAATAGGTGAGCCAAAAAAAAAAGGGGGTGGGGAGTAAGACATGTTAAAGATGCCATATTAAACTGAAGAAAACATGGATAAGTTTGTCAAGGAATCATGGTCTTATTTTTTTGTCAGACAGACAGGTAAAACCTCCAGCTCCAAAACTGAGAGTCTGTCTTTAAGGGCTACAGGTGGGATCTATTGAACCTCACCCCCATTTTTCCAGATTTGTGTATGATAAATGTACAATCCCAGAGCCTCATCAGTGCTAAAAGTAGCCCCATGTCTATAGCAACAAGACTTTAAATCTACCAAATTCAAACCCCAGTCCAGTCCAAAGCAGAGTTCATGCCCCCATATCCTATCATTTAAAACAACTCTCTTGAATTTGATGTTCATTTCTAAGAATGATGCTCCTTATGATATCAAAAATGAATCAATGATAATGTCCAGTGGATTTGCCCAACAGCTTTATACTACCTGGCAGTGTTGTAATAAAGACAATGGTTTTTTATAAGTAATTATGTTTACTGTCAACACATAGCATACTGTTTGTCTTTTCTGTAGATTCGTTTTAGAGATCTTTAAAATGCTATTTATTTTGTATTTCATTCCAGGGCATTCTTGGCTCAGGTTTCGCACTAAAAGTACAGGAACAGCACCGCCAGAAACATTTTGAGAAAAGAAGGAATCCAGCTGCCAACCTCATCCAGGTAAATGTCAGCGTGATAGGTAGATGGCAACATCTATCTCCAGTCATTCCTGTCGGATCATTTTTTAGTCACCACACTTCATTGCTTCCCGGAGCTCCTTACTGTTCTGTCTTCTAAAAAAGTGAAGTCAACCCCTAATGAACAGCCTAGAATTTGAACAGGTGTTGTCCCTTTCCCCAGTGACAACAGCAAATTATGTTTCTCAGAAAATGGGCTATGCCTTATTCAGATTAATTAACCATTCCCACCAACACTGCACAGAGGTCACCAGTCATGTCACTCCTGGAAGGACCTAATATGTTTTACGAATCACTGCGTGAAACATAATTGGTCATTAAGTGATGGTGCAGAATGCAGCATCATTCCTGGTTTCCCCATGACTTCCTCGAGCTCGTCGTATGCTTCTGTTGTGGAAAACAGAGATGTCTAGAATGTTGAGGTTTAGTGTCTGTGAGACTACTTCTAACATCTTTTAGGGAGATTGCCTGAAATACATTAGGTATTAGACTATATTAAATAATAAGCATATTGTTTGAAGCTAGTTCATAATACATCAGTTTTGTGTTAGCATTTCATTTCATTTTCAAAAACCCAGGATTTGTGCTAACATTTTTCTAAAATATTTATCATTTTTGCCATCCACGCTTTTTTGTTTGTTTTGGTGGAGGTTGTTGTTTGGTTTGGGATTGGGTTTTAACTTCCTTAGTGGTATAGTAGAGAGTATGGCTGTCACCCTTGTCCTGTGGGATTCGAACCAGGTGAAGAATCACAAGATAATTTTTCCTGGATCAGTGATATGAAGTTAGCATTTCACAATGAATACAATAGTTCTACATTTCCAAGTCCAAGCAGCCGAAGCCCCAGGCTTTGAACCTGGAGATGATGGGATGCATATGCCAGGCACTAGGAGATCGGTTTATATGTGACTATAGCAAGTGTGTTGCTTTACTTTAGATCTCTGCTTTGAGTGGCTGAACTGTTCTGTTGTAGCCACTGTGAGCCATCCCATTAGCCTTTGCCTGTGGCATGCCTTACTTCCAACAGAAGTGGAGATAGGAAAGGGGCTGTGTGGCTTAGTTCTATCCTTAAGGAAGTCTGTATCTAATGACTAAATAAGGGAACCAGTTTTAAACACAATACTATTTTACAATTGTTCATAGGAAATGAACCATCAGGCATGAATTTCAAGGCAAACCTCTGACAGTCACTATCTTTCCAGTGGTTTAAAAAAGAAATAAATGAGGGCTGGAGAGATGGATCAGCAGGGAAGAGTACTGGTTGCTCTGCCAGAAAATCCTAGTTCAATTCCCAGCACCCCCATGATGGTTCATGTCTTTCCATAATTAAAGGGTCAGTAACCTGACACCCTCCTCTGGCCTCTGCAAGTACCAGGCACCCACATGGTACACAGACATACATTCAGGCAAAGCACCCATACACATGAAAGTAAGTAAATAAAACTATTTTTAAATGATTGTCAATGAAAACAGTAAAATTACTTCCTTGCAGAAAAGGTCCCTAAGTTAATAGGACCTTAAGCTCCTTGGCCAGGGACTGGGAATAAAGTTTAATGGTGTCTTCATTAGCATGCATGAGTCCTTAGTTGAATCTCCAGTATTGAAAAGTCAGAAACCAAACAATAGTCCCATCATGATACAAGTGCACACAATAGGCTCACAGCATCCTCGCCACTTTTTGTCTGCAAGCACTCATCACTGATGTCCATGCTTCAAGGTTTCTACAGGTTGTTTTCCTCTCTTTACTATCTTGACCCTCCATATTCCTTCACTCTAGAACAGTTCACCAACCTGTGAGGGCAAAATTTGTTCAAGGGGCTCCCAGAATCCCACTGAGCAACAAGCTCTGTTTATGTATGGGACCAATAAACCATCTCGCAGATACTAAGCCTCCTAGAGCGTGAGCTGTCCCGTGGAGAAGCAAACCTTGCAAAAGTCTCCTGTGCACATCAGCTGTGACAATCCAGAGCTGTGCTGCCACACAGTAGCCATTAGTTACTATTTAAGCTCTGTGAATCAAAGATGAAAACCTGATTTCTAGACACTTATCAAATGTCTGGTCCCTTGTTAGTTGCCGTAGTGCACTGGACATGCCTCCAAGAATCACAGTAGGGACTTCTCATCTGCAGTGTCCTTATCACCTACTGAGTCCTGAGGAACGGTTTCCAACTGAACTTCAAAACCAGTTGGTTTTTTTGTGCAGCAAATCATTAGAGAAGTGGAATTTACATCTATCTCCACAATAAGATAACCTGAAATTGGTGTAGATGTCAACTGAACAGTTTAGCTCAGAGGCCTTGAGCTCTACTTTGTGCAACTTGATTATGTAACATACATTGTGATTAGCAAGTGAACTTGTAAAATGAAGGTAATAACAGAGTGACATTATGAATTTTATTTAAAATCCCAAATTGTTTGTGACAGAAAAGAGCACAAACTACATGACATAAAATCGAATTTGCTGATTTAGGAAATAGATGCCCCCTGATTCCAGTGGAATTACATTAATTTATGCTGCATAGGAACAGCATAATATTCATCTGTCCACTGCATCTCCTTTATATAGTCTGACAGATTCCAGGGAATTAGGCTTCAGCTATACATTATAGAAATCTATTTTTTTAGCTTAGATATGAATTTTTTTAAGGATAAAGTAGGTTGAAAAGCAAGTTTTGTTTGCTGATCTCTTCATTTCTTACCCCATAAACCTGCTGGTTTCCTGAATAAACAAAGCATGGGATCAAAGGCAATTTCATTTGTGCTAAGGCTGAGCCACACTCTTGCCACCGTGGCAAGTGAGATGCTCAAATTGCTTTTTCATTTGATTGGTGAAAGAACTAAATTAACCAGCATCTCAAGGATTTAGGGGAAAAAAAGTTGAAAAGCCCAGAAGCTCACAGCAAACTTAGCTGTGTCAATATTTCTGCGTGACTCATTTAAATTAACTTTTCAAGTGGAGCAGTCTGGGATACGAAATCGGCTCTCAGTAACATTCTGAATACCTGCTCAAATGTCACAACTTTTGTTAATAATGCCTAAGACTCACAGAGTCTTTTTTAGTTTGCAGAGTGCTTCCAACCCTTTGTATCACGTGATCATCAAGATTAGCCTCATCAGAGCTAGGACTAAAGCCTTGCTGAGTTCAAATCCAATACATGTATACAATGTTCCTCATCAAATCCACCCCTACTTCCTTCTTCCTATTTTCCCTGCTCCCCACCAACACATGTCCCTCCCAACTCTTTTTTTTGCCACCCACTGAGTCCAATTCATGATGTTCATATGTGTACCTGAGTATTGGATCATCCACTAGGATGATGGCCATCTACCCAAATAAAAGGGATGGATCTCCAGCCCAATCTATGCTGGAATTTTTAAGTAGCTTTATCTCCTATATGTACTCACAACTGCTGTGAGTCGTATGTAACTGTCATGTCACATCCAAAGGACAGCATTTCATAGCCCTCCTCCTCCTCCCCATCTTCTGGCTCTTATATTCTTCTGCTCCCACATCTTCAGTGTTCCCTGAGCCTTGGGGCTGATCATGGGTAGGGTTCAAAAATCAACATTGTGTCTTCCACAGGCATTATTGAGTTTTTGGGTAGGCACCAACAAATTCATCAGAGGTCTACAACAGAGGCTTATTCTGGAGATATCGAACCTGTTCCATGTAGAGTAACAACAACAACAATTCGATGAACTTTTGTAAAAAACAGTCCTGACAGAGCAGTGAGTGGAGGGTTGGAAGATTATCTTGCCATAAAGCTAACCGTTCCCAAAGAAAACATGCTGTGTATTGAACCTTTAGCTTTATGTAGTGAAATAGCTTGGTCTTCACTCAGCCATCCTAAAGGGAGGCTGCCAAGCTACAAGATGATGCACCCTTTATCATGCTTCAGTCACAAAGAACAGATTCAGAAAAACCAGATCACAGTTATTAAAACACGAAAGCAGAAAAATAAATGGGTGGAAACACAAGGTTGTAACTGTATCTCAGAAAATGCAATAAAAAGACAAGAAAGAAAGAAAATCGAAGGATCTTTGGTTGAGGTTCAAGACCCAGCTAACACAGATACCTCAGAGTACACTGAGTCCCAGGAAACTAAGGAGAGGGTTTTACCAGGTTAATAGCATCCTATGATTCTCTAGAAATAGAGGGCAGGTGTATCCATAGTAAGAGAGTCCACCAAATGTCTGCAGTATGAACCAAAACCTTCCACCAAATGCCTACACTATGAACCAAAACCTTCATACCAAAATTATCACAGAGACATATCAGAATGCTTGTAAAATCAGGCATTTTAAATGTTTCCAGAGTTGAGCATATCCAAAGGGTGAAGAATTGCATGACATCCAATATCTCACTAGAAACTCTGCTCCAAATGATATGACAGACTTTGAAGATTCCCCCCATGGAAGGCCTTACCCTCCCTGGGGAGAAGAAAGGGATGGGATAAGGGGTCTTTGGGGGGGGGCAGGGGAGGAGGGAAGGGAAAGGGAACTGGGATTGACATGCAAGGCAAGCTTGTTTCTAATTTAAAGTTTAGAAAAAGAAAAAAAATTCAACACTTTGAACTCCATTGTGAAGTAAATCCATTGTGAAGAAAGAGTACTGGCAACCTAGCATTCCACACCAAGCCAAACCATTCATGGAGCATGAGAATAATACAAAGACATTTAGAATCATCCAAGAGCCCCCAAAATGTACCTACTACTGTCCTAGTTTGCTTCCTTTTGCTGTGATAGAACATCATGCCCAAAAGCAGAATGGGGAGGAAAGGCTCATATGTCCCTGTCACAGTCCACCATCTAGGAAACTCAGAGCAGGAACCTGGAGTCAGGAACTGAAGCCATAAAGGAATGCCAACTGCCGTGTTTCTCCCCATGACTCACTCAGTCTGTTCTCTCTCTCTCTCTCTCTCTCTCTCTCTCTCTCTCTCTCTCTCTCTCTCTCTCTCTCTCTAGCTCTCTCTCTTCATCTTGACTACAGTTTCCCCTCCTTTCTCTCCTCCCAACTTTCCCTCCCCCTCCCCATCCACTCATTTCTCTTAAGAAAAGGACAGGCATCCCATGGGTGTCAGTTAAATATGACACATCAAGTTGCAGTAAGATTAGACACCTCCCCTTGTATTAAGGCTGGACAGCCAACCCAGTATGACGAATAGAGTCCCAAAAGCCTGCAAAAGATTCATAGATAACTGCCCCCACTGTTAGGAGTCCCATAAGAGGAACAAGCTACACAACTGTAACGTATAAGCAGAGTGCCTGGGTCCGTCCCATGCAGGCTCCCTGGTTGACAATGTAGTCTCTGTGAGCACAGGTTAGTTGATTCTGTGAGTTTTCTTGTGGTGAACTTGACCACTCTGGCACTTATCCTCCCCAGCCTGCTTCCTCAGGATTCCCTTTGGTCTGTCTAATGTTTTCTTCAACCTGCTTCTTTATGCCTCCCAGGGCTACCTGCCCAGGTATGGTACCACTCACCATGGGCTGGGCCCTTTCATAGAAATTATTAATCAAGATAATGCCCTACAGACTTACCTATATGCAACCGGATGGGGACATTTTCTCAAGGGAGGGGCAGGAACGGTGAGCAGGAGCTAAGCACGAGGGAACACATGGAAACAGAAGGGATAGGCTCTGTGATGCATTGCACTGCAAGGATTTTCCATTTCTTCAGGAAAGATCAGGAATGCCATAACTTTGCAATAGATAATGAAAGCAAACCCCAAAATGAAAAGACCGCAAATAAAGCAACTTATGTACTCATTTTAAATATACACAAATAAACACGAAAGAAAACATGGTTATAGCACTTACTGGCTAGTCAAACTAGATACACCCTGGCCTAACATACACACACACAAAACTGAATTATACTGATACTTTTTAAATTGGTATGCCAGAGACAATGTTGTAAGAATGCAAACACAGCTGGGCGGTGGTGGCGCATGCTTTTAATCCCAGCACTCAGGATTCTCTGTGAGTTTGAGACCAGCCTAGGCTACAAGAACTAGTTTCAGAACAGGCTCCAGAGCTACACAGAGAAACCGTGTCTCAAAAAAACAAACCAAAACAACAACAACAAAAAGAATGTAAGCACTAACAGCCAAAAACTGAGATACAAAAATGTCAGCAGGATGAGAAAAAACAAAGCTGGAATGTGAGTGTTCTACTTTATTGTCTCCCATAGTCAAAAACTGATTAATGATACTTAAATTTAAATAGAAGCATAATCCTTAAAAGAAAGAATTCTTAAGAGAAAAAAAGGAGAATTACTGTATGATCCAGTGACCCACCCATGGGTATGAATCAGAAGGACCCTAAGTCAGCAACCACAGAAATGTTTACACATACATGTTTGTTGCAGCACTATTCACACCAGCCAAGATACAGAGCCAATCTAGTACCCATCAACAGATGAATGAATAAGGGAAATGTGATAAGTGCATGCACACGCACACACACACACACACACACACACACACACACAGAGTGAATTTTTGTTCAGCCATGAAGAACAAAGTTATGTCATTAGCAGGAAAAAGGGTGGGACAAGAAATCATCCAGTTAAGTACAGTAAGCCATATCGCAAGCTTTGCCTATATTTAACTAAATAAGCCAATAAATATGTGTAAATCATGAAAGCAAACAAGAGAGTATTGAGGAGAAGAAGGAACATGAGATGGTGACAGAAGGCTGAACATGAGCCAAACACTTGATGGACACGCATGAAGATGTCAAAGTGCAAGGTGTTATTGAGTATATTCATTACTAAAATAGAAATTATACAAGAATCGAAGCATGTGAAAGGAGAAGTGACTGCTGGTTGACCGCTCTGTCTTTCAGGACTGGTGTCTTAAAACATGCTCCTTGAAAAATGCAAGTTCAGTGTTGGTCTGCCTTTGGATGGTCAGCTGAAATATTCTGAACAATTTTTAGAAAGAGTCAAACTACTCATAGCTGTACTGATCCAAACAATACAAACTGAACACTATCCACACAAAGAATTCTGTGGGCTTTGTACTTTCAACTCAGGACTGAAGTTCACATTTGTTTGCCTGCCTACGCTACCAGAATCACCAAATAAATAGCAAGTTTAGCCTTCATTTGCTTTTTGTTAACTTGTCCTTTCCAGTTACAGATGCCATGTAAATTGGTTAATTGGGATCTACAGGAATCCCTGGAGGGAACTATTTTATTTTATACTATGTGATTTGGACTTTAAATACAGGAACACTAGGTACTGGGACATATGAATGGGGAATTGAATTTCAATTGCTGGAAGCAATCAGTGGAACTCAAGGACAGGAGGTAGTTGCTAAGAATATAAGAGTATGTGGAGAACACCCATACAAGGAACATATGCTGACTGAGCAGGTTATGTTTAGGAAATACATGTATGTGCATATATGCCTGTAACAACAATTAATGAAAGAAGAGGCATGGTTTGAAAAGGAGCAAGGAGGGGTACATAAAAGGGTATGGGAGAAGAAAAGGAAAGGGGGAATGCTACAGTGATATTGTGGTCCCCAAAAATTAAAAGACATAAACAAATGCAAAAATAGTTCAACTGACACTCCCCACTTCCATGCTGACCATTAACTAATCTCAGCTCTGGAATAGATGTCACTTGACCCTTCTGTGTCTCACTTACACAGCATTTTTATAAGACAACATGGGCAAAAAAGTTGAGCTGTTAAACTCAATTTGATAGAAAAAGATGAAGAAATTAAGTCATATTGTATAGAAAGCCTTCAATTTTTCAAGATCTCTTCTCCCACCCCCGTGGTTTATGACACTTAACAGGTAATATTTGGCCCCATTTTTTGGCATAGTGTTATTGTGGTTTTTTCCCACTATTGTTGAATAATGCACAGCCCTGCAGGATATGTCTAGTTGTACAAAAGTCTTACTTTCCGAGTCTGGATCTCAGAAATGCATCATGACTCTGTGAAAACTGTTTAATTAAAGCAGCTATCTATACTTCCATACCAGCTAAGGATCTCAGGGCCTCACTCCAACAGAAGTGACTCCAGTAAGTGTAGCTTGGAATCTCAGCAGGAGGCTGAGTCTGGATGATCACCTCACATTCAGGAACATCTTGTGCTACAGTGGTGGCACTGTCTCCAACAACCAAAACTGAAAATAATAACAATATCTCTGTGTCTTATTAGCTAGTCTAGATCACTCTAAAAATTTTTTGTAAATAACCCCAAACACTAAAATTTCAAGAAAATAATATGCCAATTGTCTTATTATCTGCAAGACATCAAACTTCCATAGATTTATCGGTTAAATCAACACAAGCCATGTGAGCAAGCATTCAGGCAACGAATCCTGCTTGGGAAGTGTAAAATAAATGAATAAATAACCTTTAAAAACATAAAATCCCTCAGGGTCTACTCAGGTTCTAAATTTTTTCATGTCACTTCCTGAATATTTCACTGAAGTATAATGTGCAGACAGAAAAGTGTACATTTCCTAGGAGAACTGAGAAGTCCTATGTAGCCAACACTAAGAAAAACAAAATATGACTTCCCGGATACCCTTTCTCCATCACTATCCCACAAGGGGAACTGCTACACTACCATCCAACAGCATAGAGTATTTTCCCAACTTTATAGAAAGCTCTCTGTTGAGTCTTGTTTACAGTACCTGATATTAGTCACAGAAAGTCCATCCATATTGTCAAGCATAGTTACACTAAACTGTTGCTAGTTAGACACATTACAATATGTGATGATGTTACAAGACTTCTATTTTACACTACTAATTATAGATATATGGGCATTTCCAGCTTTAGTTTAAAAGCCAAAATGTAGTGCATACCTTTTTGGTGAATGTATTTAATCATACCTATTAAATTTACCTGGGAACGAATGTCTGTATCATAATGTATTCATACATTCAACTCAATAATACTTCCAGACAATTTTTCACAATAGTTGCAGCAATTTTTTAAATTTTTTGTCCAACTCAATAGTATTCTTAGAAAACAGAATTTAATTAGATCACTTTTTTCTTCACTGTGTTTCAAAATAATGACTGTTAGTTATACAGTAGGGATGTGACGCATCTAGATGTGTTTGCCACATAAAAATAGAACGTTCTAAGTAATGAATCATAATACAAGGTTTTCTCTAAAGAAACTGGAGCAAATGCTTGGCCATATATTTAGAGTGATTTTCAGGCTCATTGCAAAGGAATATATTTATCAAACTCCAAACTCTGCATGGAAAAGTAAGTATAGATGATTTCTCAAATGAACAGTTCAGAAGTCCTTCCAATCACTGCCATAAAGCAGTCAGGAAAATCCCCACTGAAGACTGTGACCAAGAGGCCATCATTTGAAGACACTTTTTCAACCTTCCCAAACTTGACTGAATTCCTTTACCTGACATTGGTGGTCTTGTCTACAAAACAGGGCTCTTAGTTCACACTTTGGTTGTAAGGATCACATCACAATGCTTTACGTTTTATATTCCAGAAATTACTGTATAATGAAGACAAATGATTCACCCTTTTCATTTCATTCTGTTTCCTGCTTTCTCTTGTGACCCTGTGTGCCATGTGCAGTGTGTTTGGCGTAGCTACGCAGCTGATGAGAAGTCTGTTTCCATTGCAACCTGGAAGCCACATCTGAAGGCCTTACACACCTGCAGCCCTACAAAGTAGGTATCAGTGGGACAGATGGTGCTGGAGTTGTCTTTTCTAGTTTGTTAAGCAAACCATACGTGTGCAGAAAAGTCCCAGTTTGGGACTTGTTTTATTCTCTCTGTTGCTCTTAAAGATGTCTAAACCTATTTAATAGCAACTGAACAGTGAAACTGCATGGAAATAGCATCACTCCTTATCAACCATAGGCCATGACTGAAGCCTTAAAGAATATAAATGATGTATAGATATGGTAGTTTTCTAATGTCTCCTCTTATAAAACCAAAGTTCTTGAAAAATTAAGCACCACCTGACCTACCACCTAAATTTAGAGGGTGACTGCTTGAAGAGCAGTATCTATGTGAATCACAGTTCTCATCTTTGGGAAATATGCTGGATAAACATAAAAGAGGAAGACTAGTTATAAAGCTGATAGAGCACCTCAAATGACAGAAGACAGAGGTCTACTAATATATTTGATTATCTGGCTTCCCACTCACAGCAGCTTTGGATTAAAAGTCATTCTGAGGTCAGGAAAAACTTAATAATGAGTCAAATTCTCTAAGTGCATCTCCTAGTACATTGTTCATATACTGGTTTCCTCTTGTATTTTCCCTTTTTTAAATGGGGGCAGAGAGGTGGAGGAGGATTGAGTCAAACATGTACTTTCCTCCTGTCTCCTTGAGGCCACCAGCCACGCCTTCACTCACTTTTCCTTGAAACCTCATGTCTCAGTCCCACGTACTGAAAAACAGTGACTCATCCCAAAGGACACAGCAGTCATTGGTGCCCAGGGGTCCTGACACAAATCACTCCAGAGATACTTCATTGTTATTGTGTTTCATAATCATTGCTGTTATTATGGTTGTTCTTTGTTAAGTTAGTGAAATGCGACAGAAATGGTGGCCTTTTCTCAAGAGTAATATCCAATGTGTGTATACATACACACATACACAAGAAACAAAATTCTGCCTGTAATTTTAATATATGCTCAGACCCCCTGGAGCCAAGTTCAGAACCTTTGCTTTAGAGAGAAAACCTACTTCAGTAAGGTTTCTGTTTGTGAGAAGAATAATTTACAATGAGCTGGAGAGTAGTTTCACTTAAGTGAAACTGTTGGCTAGCTTACTGAATGCAGAGTGATATAATGAAAAAGACTAAAGCTTCTTTTAATTTGAATGGTATATTTCTCCTTAGCATTCAGATTGCAATGTCTCTGAAGGGGAAAGAGCATTCACTCGTCTGCATATCCATTCTGCAAGTGCTCACTGAGTACTTACTACACACAGGGTTGGGTTTCTGAGACAAAGAAAGCCAAATAAGTTCAAGTCTCATTCATAGCTCAGGAACTAGACAGGAAAAGGAAATATTGGGAAAGTTTTAAGGAGAAATGTAAATAGGAAAGCAAGTTAGGGCTGGGGGGGCTGCAGTGTTAAAGAAATGATCATTGACAACCTCATCTTCATCACGGCTAACAGTGACATTGTTGTCACTAAATAGCACCAGGTCGGTGCTCTGGTTCCCCATGGTTCTGACATGGTGCCATGGTGCGTGTTGCTTTTACTCCCCAAGCTCATCTCAAAGAGTAGAATGATAGCTAGGTCTCAGAAACGGCTCTCAGTGTCTGGAAAATGCAAAGAATTGGCACCCTGACCCCTCTTCACACCTTCCATGGTTGTAAAGGAGTTTCCTTCTCATTCCAGGCCACGGTTTTCCTCTTATGTACAATACACATGAGATCTGAGCCATCTCTATTTCAAAGCTTTGCCGTAGTAAGAGAAGGACTTACAGAGCAAAGTCTTTTGCTGATTTTTCTTCTCAAAATGAGTAAAGGTTCTACAAAAGGTGAAGCCCAGCTAAATGTGGTATCTCAAAGAATGAGTCAGATATTTTAAGAAGCTATGGGAAATTACCAAGCTGCAGGGGTGCCATGAGGTATATTGAGGAGTCACAGTTTAGACACTATCTGATATAATTAATGCCCTTCCAGTATAGCACTGGGACACATAAGAACCGTGAGTCCAAAGCCCACAGTTCATTTGCAAATGAGCCACCCTATACCATGCTACCAAAGCCCAACCCTGTCCAAAGGAGTGATTACAAATGCCACACAACAGTGGGATGTAAGGGCTCAGATTTTCTATGCACCTTATTTATTCCAAAGGAATTCAATTCTTCATATAAGAGGGAAAAATCCCTACATCAGTAAGTGACTGAGAAACAAGAGTACAGCCAAGGATCAATGCCTCCATGCCTTGATCCCATATGTCTGCCCAAGACACAGGTACTGCAACCACACCAGAATCAGCAACACTCTGAGAGCTTTTACCAGGGTCTCTTTAGCAAGAACCACTGTTTCTTAACCAAACAGTGTGTGGTATTTTGCTGTGTGTGGGCAGTACTGGCCTTGCCAAGTAATGTTGTGCTGTCTCAGATCTGCCACAAAGAACATATGTTTGAAAGCTCTGTGCAGTTATTATAAATAGCATTGCTTCTATGGACTGTACTAAAGAAGGGTTACTTAAGGTACCCGATTTCGCCTGTCTCCTGTTTTTGGCCATTATCAAATGCTGTAAATGTATTCACTGGTTTATCATCATTTCTCTTCTGTCCACACGCACCTGAAGGAAAGAACAAGGGGAGGCGTCAAGCAGGTTTGTGATTTCTCTTTCAATACATGTTTATTTATAAACCAGATGCCTAACAGATGTTTTAAATGTGCTTTATGAGTAAAATCGATCAACAAATACAATACGATTAAAGGTGACTTTTCACAAGATTGCCTGCAAAGTTTACTGGGTTGTATTGATTTTTTTTTCCTCCTTGGGAATAGAAGTATCTTTCCCTAATCCACTCAATGGTTTTTAACAATCTGTAAGGCTTGGAATGTTCAGAGGAATAATAATTGTAGGCTTTGATTGTTCCTGTCTGCCACTGTCCCAAACAGAAGTCCTTCCAAAGTATTCAAATACAGTTATTGAAAGACCTAACTGGAGAAAAGTAGTGTTTCTCAACGTTGCTAGCATGGATAGCAGTCTAGGATAGACTTTCCTGTATTAGGGTGCTTGTCTTATTATGAGAAATTTTTCTTTGTTCATTTGGCAAGAGGTATGCTAGGGATAAGATGTAAGAACTGCCTATGTGTGGGCTATCTCCAGCCCTGGGAGCAATAAAGTTAACTCAGGTTAACAGTTCCACAGAAGAGACCTCATCTTCAGTAGGAAGAGAGCCCTTCCACAAATTCTCCAGATGACTCGTGGCTGCTCCTCCTAGAAAACCTCAGAGGAAACAGAAGCCAAGAGAGGAATTTCCATCTGTGTAATAAGTAGCAGGGATGGTCAAGACTTGGAAGCAAAGCCTGAAAGGCAGGACCAGGTAGATCCCTACACTGAAGTATAAGGATTACCAGACAGAACCAACAAAAAACGGGAGATGCCCGGAAAAGAAAGGACATTGGGCATAAGGTTTTGTTTTTGCTTTTTGTTGCTATTATTTTTCCCTCTCTCTCATTGCCTCTTGCTTCAGTAAAGAAAAAAGAAGGCATCTTCCTGTCCTGAGGACAGCTTTAATGAGGGTCTTTGATGACATCAACTATAAAATATGTATACAGTACTGGATTAGTTATGAAGCTCCCTTTGAAGGGATTAGACTCTATGTTGGTCATTTCTTCACTGATGCAAAGAAAAAAAAAGGAAAGGAAGGCCAGGCATTGGTGGCACATGCCTTTAATCTCAGTACTCGGGAGGCAGAGGCAGGTGGATCTCTGTGAGTTCAAGACCAGCCTGGTCTAGAAGAGCAGTTCCAGGACAGCCTCCAAAGCCACAGAGAGACCCTGTCTTGAAAAACCGAAACATAAAAGAAAGAAAGGAGAGGAGAGGTGAGGAGAAGAGAAGAGAAGAGAAGAGAAGAGAAGAGAAGAGAAGAGAAGAGAAGAGAAGAGAAGAGAAGAGAAGACAAACTATCCCTAGTCCCAGACCAGGACATGCATGCATTCATCTATGGCAGGTGCAGAATACATTACAGTACAAGTCACAACCTCAAGTCCTCCCTCTGGGTAGGTGAGCCAATGCATTCAGGACCCTCTCTTACTTGAGAAAGATAAGAGGTAGAGCAAAGAGCACTAGGTATTCATAAGCAATGATCTAAGTTTTAGCTACCAGAAGAGTTCTTTTCAAGAGATACCTCAAACAAAGAGAACTTTAGTCTTTGGTCTTTAGACCAAGCACCTCCTTTGCATAGACACCCAAGAGTCAAGATGGTCAAATATGACCATTAGGCCTTTTCCCATATTCCACACAGACTACACCATCCTCTGTCATGATTACCAACGTGGAAAACAGTTACACAAAACAATTCCTTACCATTACTAGTTACGTTTTGGTCTTCTTAGTGATATTTAAAGGGCTTTGTTTCAGACCTCTCTATCTACAGTTTATCTGAAGTTTGAGAGTAGAAATTCTACTTGGCATGGATTACAGAAATACTTGTGAGATATTCACCTTTCTTGGTTTCATCCCCCAAAATGGAACTTTGACAACCAAAAGGGAAATTATAAATCATGAATAGATGTTTGAATAAACATAACATGACCTCTTTAGTAATCCTGAGAGAGAGGAACCTTGGACCAATAATAACAACACCAAAGACTCATTTTCCCAATGTTCATATATCAGAAAACAAAGACAAATTTAAAGTTGAGCTTCTGCTTATAAGACCAGAAAATGAACCTTTAACTCAGCTGTCACAATTCAAAAGAGTTAGCAATCAGATTTCCTGAATTCCATGATATCATGTGTATCTAAAATGTCAAAATCTGTTCAATAGACTTGTGACTAATGTTGTTAAAGAGAGTTCACTTATAGATTTGAAAGCATGCAAAATCACTCAACTGGGTTCATGACTTAGATAATGACACTAAGAAATTCTTTGCTTCTCAGCAGTCATTGAACATTTGACAAAACAACCTTGAAGCCAGTCCTATATCACTACTTAATTTCTCAAGTCTCCTATAAGTCAGTCTCTTGCTCCCCAATTATTTATTGCATTTCCCATAAAGGTGATTACAGGGAATGTGCTTAATAAAATATTCTTGGTTAGAAGAATAAAATTTCCCTGACCCCAAGACATTTTTGTAGAATGCAACCTAGAGGAAGAAGAGAGAAACAAGTAAAAATAGATAATATTAACAATTGAAAATAACTCAGTGGGGTTGGAGAGATGGATCCAGCAGTTGTGAGCACATACTACTCTTGCAAAAGACCCACATTCAGTTCCCAGAAACCATGTCAGGGGGGCTTACACCTGCAACTGCAACTCCAAGCTTTCCTCTACATTCTTTTCTGGCCTCTGAAGTCACTGCACTTAAAGTTCACATACCCAGTGACACACACACACACACACACACACACACACACACACACACACACTTAAAATAATCATTAAAGACACTGCAACAACCTGAAGGAAATAGTTGATGCATGCCATAAAAATTTATATGCATTGAAGCCCCCATTGTATTATTGCCTTAGATTTTCCCCTGTGCTCCACAGACAACAGAATTTATAATATTGCAATAATGAATGCAGAAAGACAATTGTAATGGCAGTAACAACAGCACCATCTCAGAAAATAACAAGTCTATCTTTACTGAAGCAAAATATACACAACAGAAAAAGCATTTATAATGAAGCTCTCCCTTAGAGAAAAACAATTCAAGTTCAGAATACTGTTAATGAATGCTTGACCTAATTTCAAATGAATTAATTAATTGGTACCACTCAACTCCAGAGTCCTTTACTGCCTTTGTGATCATTGGGTTATTGATGTGGTTTAGATAAACAGAACAGACAAGTATTACCCCCAGAAGGAGCTGATTCTCTTTTAATCCTTTGGATAACTCGGAGCCTGGAATCTCCTAAGTCCTTCCTAGTGATTTTCTTTTCAGTTAGAAACTGCAATGAGTTCAACGCTGTAGACAGCACTTCTCTCTCAGGCTGCTGACTCTGCCATGGAATAAGAGCACCAACCACAGAGGAGACCAAACACAGAAGGCAAATGGGTGGAGGTCAAACCCAAACCCTTGGTTAATTATATTCACTGTTTCAGGGAATTCTTGTTGAAAATAGTAGTTTTACTTTCTCTGAAGCTAAGATGTGCTTTCAACAAGGTTCATCTATGACACCTCAGGCTAAGAAACACTGTGAAAGATACAGAATCTTTATTTGAAACTGCAAACTATAAGATACAAGTGAAGTGTTTTATAAATATAGCTCAACTGGGTAATGATGAAAATAATGATACTCTGGCTATCTTGGATAGAGGTTCAGGTACCTTCTCTACTTAGACCATAATCCCATCTTCCTTGGCATTATTATTTTATTACACTTCTTTCCCTCATCTTCTCACTAAAATGGTTTTAATCAAAAATACGTGGTAATGTGTTTACTGATTCTATTCTAATTAATCCTCTATTTGAGTAGCATTTCCAACTCATTTTTTAATTGGACAGTCCTTCCCTCAATGGTGTATGTTGTCTTTTTCTGAGAAGAGAGTTTACTCGTGAACTCTTCTGGCCATCCTACCACAGGATTTTAATCTAGAATTCCTATCTTTCCTCCCTCCTTGACTAGGTCATCAAATTGGCCAGCCAATCGTTGCATTGATATGAGAAGGGTTTTACTTCTTTCTGCCTAGGTTTTTATCCCTGCAAAAGCAGATGACACCATCAGAGAGTTCGGGGTTAATTGTAAATCTCCCTGCCTGTCCTGTCCTCTGGGTAAACAGTAGCCAATTGTGTCCCTGTTGTGGTGACACTGTCTTATTTTCTATCTATAGAGTGTCCCTAAAGCAGTTTTGGCCCTCTAAGACAGCTGTGAAGATAAATTAAGATTCATGTCACACATGCTAAGTCATAGGTGACACTGTATTATGGCATTACACTCGTGTACTCTACTTCATTGGGTGCTCTGTCCAAACCACTCCCCTGTGTTAGCTCTTCCGGTTCTGGTCCAGTTGTGTGGCTACTTGGAAAGAACTCTAGAATGCTTGTGAAGGCTCTGTGTCCTTAAATTTCCTCTGCGTTTATTTTCTACTACTTGCTTTTCTTTTGTGGACAGTGAATGACCTGCATGTATTATTCAATTAAACCTAGTGAGACTGGACTGCATTTCTCTCCCAGCATAATCAGCTCTAGTCCTTACTAGCAAAATATTAGATGGTTTAAAAGCAACCTTTCCCTCTGTTCACATTATTTATAGAAGGAAAGGATTTGTTCTTTTATAAATAGCCACAGACTTAATAAATAAGCGACTTTTTTGTGTTTGCAAACAGGTGATCTAGAACCCTTTCTTCTGTTTGCTTTTGAGCAGGTATCCAACCTGACAATTATTTGCTTATGCTAACTATAACTTCAGTTTCACAAAAGCCAAGAATCCGTGTGTGTGTGTGTGTGTGTGTGTGTGTGTGTGTGTGTGTGTGTGTGTGTGTTCAGCTCCAAAGCAACTAATATTATCTACTTCATTGATTTATGGAAATAATTATTCCTTTTTTTCCTGTTAGAGTCCTATTTTTATTTTTGTGGAAATAATCATTCTTAAATCTCCTGAAATATCTGATTCGCCCAGATTTATACTATATCCACTGATAGTTTTTACAGAAGCTGCTGTGCTCTGCAATGTTTATCTTCCCATCCCATAGGAAACAGATCCTAACACATACTACCATCGTTTGTAATGCTTGTTTCCGATCTAATTGTTTCAGCCTAACCGTAAGAACCCTGGCTGTGTCTCAGGCAGCACAACTGAACCGCAGAGTACTTGCTGCTTTCGTACTCTGTCTTCTCATATACATGTAGATGGAAAACAAAAACAGTAAAATCGAATGGCTTGTCTTTAGAAGAAGAAAGCCCTCAGCGCTGTGCTGGCGGAGAAACGCTTAGTAATGCACTGCTCTATTTCCCTCACTCCTAGTAAGTTCTGTAATAATAAGCAGAAGTTCTTCAGAATGTACACCTCACGGAAGCAGAGGTACCCAGCATCCCAGCTGTTGACATGAGATTTGAGAATGCCAACTAACCTCAGGTGCATGACTAGGTTACGCCACTACACCTGGGCCCTGTTTACAGATTCACTCTCCTAGGGACTTCTTGGATGAGGTTTTCAGCGCGCTTGTGATTTTCCTTGTTGCCTGTTGCCTGCTTTGATAATCCACCACTGAGCCAAAAGGGGGGAAAAAATGCAGGCATAGTGCTGGCAGTCAGCCTGTTGGCGCCTCCTTGTGGCTGGACAACTGCTAAGCTGTTGCACGCGCTGGTTTGCTAATGGCTGGGTTGCCATATTGTGCCTGAGGCCACAGTTTTTAGAGTGCTTATCGTATGAAGGGCTAAAACCCTAATTGTGTATAACAATAGCGGCGGCATTGTAAACCGTAGTGGATTACTGCGGAGTTATGATGCCACAAGATTTCCTGGCAGCGAGCATCTAACAGTGGAGTGCATGCTGGGCCATCAGAGTGATTTGGGCATCTGGTTCTAGAGAAGGATGAATTCCCTTGTAGAGCAGTTGTGTAGGCTCCCTTGAGCATGGTGCTCAGCTGGGAACATGGGATTGCGTACTAAGACGCCCCAATCAATGACCATCACGACCTTTTGCTTTCTTTCTCCAAAGAGAGACTTACTTGCTCTCCTGGGGATCATCCCTGGCATGCTTCCTGAAAATGCTGTGACAGAAAATCTTCCTCAAAAGTCATGTTTATAAATGTCAACAAAAACCAAGAAAGTAATGGAAACTTTTATGTACCAGTGAAGTGTCTGTAATTTGAATTGATGTGTATTTTCAATGACAGCCACCTAATCAGTTTACTAGTCATCTAATCAAGATGCTCTGTTGATTTCCAAAGGGGAAAGGAAGTAGAACAACCAATAAAAGAAAAACTTTCCATGAGGGATCACGCGAACAGAACTTTTTCTTGGGAAAAAAAGCTTCTTCTGGATTAGGATGCTGTTATAAACTTTCATACTCTTAAAGACAAAAGAAAACATTACTTACGTTTTCTCTATTTTAGTATGTAATTTGTTGAATTTAATTTAGATGTTTGTTTTATTTTGGTTTAGTTTGGTTTGGTTCATTCTGCTTTGGCCTTAGTTTCTGAGACAAAGTCACCTTAAATAACCCTAGCTGGCCTGGAACTTGCTATGTGAATGGGCTGACCTTGAATTCACAGAGATATGCCTGTCTCTGTTTCCTGGCCACTGAGCACCAGACATGCACAGGGTGCACAGACAGACAGAATACCCAAACATACACACACACAAAAAAAATTTAAATGAATTTAGAGAAAACCGAAAAGGAATGGTACCTAGAATTAATTTATATCTTTTAATGAGCTGAGATTTAAAGAGTACCCCCCAAATTTTCACTAACATGTAGAAGTGTCATTAATACATTTTAAAGAGCAATTTTTAAACATTCTTGCCATCTCAAATAAATCATGGCAAATTGGGTGATGTTTTATTTTAGAAATGTTCTACCTTTTTCAAATTGTAATTCTTAAAAAGGAATAGCAATCGTTTTAGGATTTTTATCAGGGGCTTTTTTTTCCCACTCATATATACATATGTTGGAGAAAAATCACTTTCTAGCTTCTAAACTCAATGTTCCATGTAATTAGCACTAATTCCAAAAAAGTTAGAGATGAGTTCAAACAGAGTGAGGACACTTGAAGCAGTGGCTGTGTCTACTTGAGGCAGCCATTCACCACAAGAAAGGTACAGAGGTGAACATATGTCTCCTGAGCTAGATCATCATAAATTTAAATGATGGTACACATGTACTGAATTAAAAAAAGGATTGGAAATTCTTATACTTAAACACTTTTTAAAGAAGAGTAAACATTTTTTACCTATCTCTTCGACAGATTTCTCTAAATAGCAAGCGCATAAAACTATGTGGTCTTAAGATGTTTTCTGTTGTTGTTGTTTAATGTAATCTATCATTTAATCATACATTTGTCAAGTGCAGATAAACCCTGTGATTGATGGGGCTGTCGTACAGAGCTCTTGAACTCACATGACCTCATCACAAAACTGCCCAGCCTGCATGTGCCTTCAGCTGGTTGTGCTGGAAGTGGCTGTATCTGCATTTGGGACAGGAGATGTCAGTTGCATGGTCAACTCCTTTAGTGTTAACCAGACTCTCTGGCCACCATTGTTCATGATTTGATTTGTTTTCATGTAAGCAAATTCACATTAAACATGGTACCTTTTTAGAACACCAGATGTTAAGCAACTAGGCATGGGAAAACAAATGTTACTATCTCTTGTTAGCTGCCAAACACATATGCACTAAACACATTTGCTGTTGGCATGCTGCAGCTGGGGACAGTGGACACTGCGGTAAGTGGAAAAGTCAAGGCCTTCACTTGGTCTCAGACAGTCCTTATCCATAAGCACGCTGCCTTCATCCCCCACAAAGGCTGCAGCATGACTCACAGGAGCTGTGCTAAGCGACTCACCCTCGGATCCATTGCCCCATTATTTCTTCCGTCCTTAAGGAGCACAGGGCCCTCACATTGATAACAGTGTGCTACTTTCTAATGAATAGTGCAGTGCTTTATAAGCGAAACAAGATCGGGGCATGCAGCACTCTCCACAGTTCATTTGATTTCTAGAAAATCCCCTTAGCTGCATTAGTTAATCTTGTCTTCACATGAGCCAGGGAACTCCACAGCCCCCCTACCTGCTCCCCCTAGAACATCAGACAAGACACACACGGTCTTAACCAGGATAGGCTGAAGGTGCATTTTGGATTTTGTTGTTAATACATCCTTGATCAGCCCATGGCAGCTCGATCTTCCGTAGCATCAAAGAACAGAATGTTCCAACAAATGTGATCTTACCAGTAGCTGCCACAGCAAATCAATAGCTTGTTTCATAGCAGGAAATTGTGCTAGTGAACATTGCATCTCATTCTGTCAATCATCCCATTCATTACATGTTGAGGCTGTTCCACCCTGTGGTCTCTTTTCCCAAGAATGAAGAATGTAATGTTAAGTGTTGTGTGTTTAACATATGTGCGTCGTGCTGTCAATTGCTTTGAGATTGCATGGATTTATGGATTTCATAACCTTGCCTGGGATATAAAATGCATGCTGGATATAGGTACATATGTAATCATCACCCCTGTTTACCTGCAGAGATGCTTAGGAATGACAAAGAAAGGTCACCCAGACAAACAAACAAAAAAAGAAAAATGAACTTAAAAAACTCACCAGCGGGGAGGAAAGCTACAATCACCCAACAGTTGTTAAAGTGAACTCCACACCCATTCTTGGTTATCTTCAGTGAAATTGGGTACAAACTGCTGTACCTGGTCTCTTTTCTTCCTACATAAATCCAAGAAGCACGCACATACCCATAAGAGTGAAACTGGCCTCAAATGATTACAAACACCATGATCAAATAAAGTTAATTTTTTTCAAAAAGGAAACTATCTATTTCTATGCTCCTACTTGCTGAACACACTCTTGCCTATATATTGATGTATATAACCTTATATAGTTCCACCAGATCATTTGCCCATGCGGAATGGAAGAACGTTTTTGAGATGGAATAATCATGGCTCTGTTCTTCACAGTCAGAAGCTGAGTTTTAAGGAGAGAGTACGCATGGCTAGCCCGAGGGGCCAGAGCATCAAGAGCAGACAAGCATCAGTAGGTGACAGGAGGTCCCCGAGCACTGACATCACTGCTGAGGGCAGCCCCACCAAAGTGCAGAAGAGTTGGAGCTTCAACGACCGAACCCGCTTTAGGCCCTCACTACGCCTCAAGAGTTCGCAGCCAAAGCCAGTGATAGACGGTAAGCCTGGTTTTCATGACTCTTTTTAGCTTGATGGGCTGCTGGGTGGCTATGAAATGATTCATTCTGCGGCGCCATTGAAGGTACCAGAAATTGTTTATTTTTATTGGAAATGTATTCATGGCTGTGGGTGAATACACAGAACATAAGTTAGTTTTGAGAAGCAACTTTGGCAGCTAAATCTATATCTCAGAGAAGGCCAAGGGGTTGGAAATACAGAACAAGGTTAGAGTTCATCATGTGTGAGACCCTGGGTTCCAGGCCTGGTACCCCATTTATAAAAAAGAAAGGAAGGAAAGATGAAAGAAAGGACCATTTTGTTAATTTTTCCTTCTATTTATTTCAAGATCACTGTGACCTCCTTGCTAGTGTGTGTGTGTGTGTGTGTGTGTGTGTGTGTGTGTGTGTGTGTGTGTGTGTGTGTGTGATCTGACCAGCAAAGACTCAAAGCAGAAAGATGACCAGGTACATTGTGAATATTCTGAAATGGGAGTGATAGCAGCACCCTTCTAGACACAAGGAAACTGTACTCCCTTCTACCCCAAACTCACAGCCTGCTGCTTGTTGTGAAGTGCTCCTGTGTGAAGCTTCGCAGCCTTCTAATGAAAAATGAAATTCTCTCCCAAGAGGAATTAACCTATTTTATCATCTCACATGCCAGAATGTTTTCTTTCCAGCATATCATTGAGTGACACATAATTTTCATGTTCATGAAATACTTTTTTTTTCATTCAAAAATTAACTCGGTTTTCCTTTTAAGTGTGCCCCCTTGGGATCCCTTACACTGGGCACAGAACCAGAATCAAATAGCATCTTCCATTAATGCATACAAACTGCTAAGGCCACCAGGCCTTATACTCTCGTTCCCTAGCATAACCTGTGTTTTCCCAGGCCCTCAAAGCCCGGGGGACAAGATGAACAACCAAGGGTCAGAGATGCAGTGATCACAGCTCCCTGCGGTGAACCGCTGGAACCTCTGCCTGCCAGCCCTTCCCAGCTTCCTCAGAGGTCCTCAGAGACCTCCCTTCCCCTCTCAAGTGAGCGACACAAGTCCTTGCTTCACACTTCTTCACTCTCCACACCCCGACTAGTGTCATGTTCTCCAAATCGTCTCCTCAATGCTGACCCGATATGGCCCCACCTGGCAGACATAATGGCTCCCATCTCAGTGGCGAGGACATGCTGACCCTGCCACGCTTGCTTACACCTGTTTCTCTGCTAAGCCGGGAAATGCCTTGTCCTCCTGTGTCGTGTACTCTTCATCAAGTCACTTGAAGCAGCCTGAGTCACCACCAGCACAGTTTTCAGGGCTCCACTTTCCATACTTTGCTCCCAGGAGTAAGTTCACAGAGAGCCCATGGGCAGCTAAGTCTACAGTTACTGGTAATAGGCTCTCTGTTGGACTTGGAACAGACACTAATGAAAGTGGGTACATCCTTTCTGTAAGGTAGCTTGGCAAATAGATATCAAAGCCGTGGCATATGCCAAGCATTAGACACATCCACCTTCCAGCACATTCTCTAGAGTGTAACTGATGAGTGAAACAGTATCAGATGTTAGAAATGATTCTTACTGATGCGAAAGAACGATCCCAGGCCAGATGTCATGATGAATGCTTGTAATGCAAGCCTGTAATCTGAACACTTAGGAAGCCGAGGCAGGAGACCATGAGAGTACAAGGACAGTCTGACCTACAGAGCTGCACAGCAAGACCTATCAGAATGCTTGTGGATATGTACATTTACGTGTATGTGTACTATGTACAAAAACTTGTGTGTTCATGAAAAAGTCTGGAAAACAAATGAGATCACAAATGCACTGATTCGGCATTTTCTTCACCTGTGTTTCCCAGTATTTTTTCACAATGAACATGCAACACTTTTGCAATAAGAAATCCAAGGAGGACTTTTGAATACATCAAAAACAAATTATGGCTTCCACATACTGTCTCTCCCTTCCTGCTACTCTCACAGTCCTTGAACTATTGGGTAACAAACTTCCCATTTGAAGATGATCCTTACTGAGAAGTACAAGGAGCATCTGGTCTCTGCTGTGGATCAGCCTGCACTCAGTTCGAAGATCTTCCCAAAGATGCTCACCAACTATAAATATAGCTTACAAGAGTTCCTTGGGTTGTTATAACAAAGTACCACCCACTGGGTACTTTAAACAATGTAAATTCATTGGCTCACAATCTGGGATTACAAATCTCAGCACAAGGTGGTTCCTACCAAGGATATCTTTCTTCATGGTCCTTCTGTCTAAACATTGTCTCTCCTCTCTACCTGTGTCCAAATTTCTTCTTTGTATGGAATATGAATAATATTCTATTGTTACCCACCTTAATAATTTCATTTTAACTTAACCAATCACTTCTTTAAATACCCAGTCTCCAGGTACAATAGAATTTAGAGGTACTGGGTATTTCAACACATGAGCTGGGGAAGGCAGATACAGTTCAGCACCTTGGCTGAACCCCTGCTTATGTAACAGGTTCCGTGGCAGACTGAGGGGTGTCCATGTCTTCCACCTTGACCCTGGGTTCACATTGTACTAAATATATCATTAGTACACACAGAAATTGACCCTTATTCTTATAATGTGGGATTCAAAATATCTTTGTCTTCTTGCTGTGAGGTCATTACGGTTGACTGAGCACATTTAATTATAAAATTCATAGAAACTGGATTTTGAACATAGAAAATGAATTCTAGTTATACTGTTTGACCAGAAGTAAGGATGGTTTCAAAGGCTTACTGGAATTGACACTACCTACCCTAGCATTTTCTGTATCTCCAAACATATCTCAGAAGTCAGGTACAAAAGAGAAAAAAAAAGTCCTATTCTTCTCAGATTGGAAAGGTCTCATGTCATACACTTTCTAGATCATTTCATACAAGTGCAATTCTGTTTGCTTAGAAAAGAATTACTTTCCCCTGGCTGGGCCCCATCTCAATTGATTCTGAACTCCCCAAGTGAAGACGGAACTGATTGCTGCCCTGTTGAAGTAGCTTTGAGGGCTCCTCACTGGCAGGAGATGGAAGCTCCTGACTCCTCATTTAATCCAATAGCCAAGAGTCTTTACTTATGATTTAGCTTGAAATTGGGTCTTGGAAATTTTGAAGTACATTTTTCATAGAAAAAAATGAAGTAGCTATCAAGTAAATGTGGCCTTCGATTACATATATATATATATAATCTTCAGCGTCTCTCCAGGTTATGAGTATCTCTAAAATCCACTTACTACTCATAGAAAATAATACATAGCAACACTGCAGCCGACTCCCAATTATCCCGGGTCTGTTCATCTGTTCACTTCTGGAGTTTTTTTTTCAGCTGCCCCTCTGCATCTCATTACCCATTAACATTCTCAAAGAGCGTGCATGAATAGAAGAAAGAATAATGGAAATCCAGACATGCCTGTGAGTTAATAGCTGAACATTACATCTTATTAAAAATCCGCCCTTTTCTGAATGACAGTTACAAGTGGAAAACAAAATAAGTTTATGATTAATCTCTAAATGTTAACAGTTCTTGCTGAATCTGGTATAATGTAACGACTCACACACAAGCTTACTGAGTATCCACTTGTTTTCTTTCTTATAGTTTTAATAAGATTAACATGTTGTACTTAAGAAAGTCACAATTGTCTCCCAGTATCTCAAACTCATGGTTTTCAAAGAATTGGCAAGTAGCTGGCAGATATTGGGTGTAGAAATGTACAAATGGCAAAAGGAAAATTAAATTCTAAGGACTGTGGTATGTATTCTCATAGCAGATATTTTTAATCAAGGTGACCTGAATGATATCTCCTAATCAGCTAAGTCCTGCAATACCTGGCAGAAATGCCACACAAGTTATTTAGTAACATTTGTGTCTCTGAATAATTTTAGATTCAGGTAGCACAAAAATTATATTTTTGTCATGAGAACATAGGATTATAATGATAATGGTGATGTCTGTTGACTCCTCTATGATATGCACTGTTTTAAATGCTTCATTTCTATAAATGGATTACATTCCTGAGTTATGAAGTAATTGACATGACTATTGCCATTTCTGAGATGACGAAACTGAGACTTAGAAACAAGTAACTAGCTTGAGACCTAATAGGCATAAGGAAAGGGCCAAGGCATGGGCCAAGGCACTCAAACTTCATGATTTTCCAGCACAGCCATAGCTAAGGTGGGCTCAGGGTGAACATGCTAATTTCTTCTTATGCACCTTGCACTCATTTTCTCTCTCTTTTCTTAGCTGGCCCTTGCTTTCATTCTTCGTCTTCCATTCAATCCAGATTACCCACACCTGCAAGTCATGTGTCCTCATCACTGTTCTAGCTTCTCTTCCTCAAAAGTCCCAGCTGCCACAAACACGAACCAGTGTACTTGATTTAACATGGTCAGCATTGCTTGCGATTAAGGGGAAAATACTATCCTGCTATGCAATATTCAAGGGTCCTGCTGACAGCTAGGGAAGGTACTTCCATCCTCACCAGATGTTTGTAAAAGACCGACACCATCTAGGCGCAGGGGATAAGAAAGGTTCACTTGAGTGGAGGCTAGTAAACTAAAAATGATGAACACCTTCCAGATGTTGAATTCCCTTAGCTCTTGTCCCTTCGTTCCTACCACTGTTGATATCCTCCCTTTCTTCTATTTGTGTTCCTACCTCTCCTCAGCTAATGTACCTTCATCGATGCGTTGGTTGCGGGCACAAATCAAACACATCAGAATATCTTAAATAATATGTGATTTATATTATGATACCATTATTTATAATACAAGGATCTTACCTTCACTTCTCTACAGATTTTGTTACTTTCTTTAAAAAAATATTTCTTTTGTATAAAATTTGCTGTACAAAGTGATGGATTGCTTAAGAAATCTTAATAGACTGGAATGGTGTCATGCTTCCTTGATTTCACCAGGACAATCAGACTTGCAAGGCTAGCCTCCACTATATAGTGTGCTAGAGCCCAGCCTGGATTACATGAGGCACTG